TTTGCTTGGCTAGTTGCATGATGGATTCTCTGTGTGACGGGTGTTCTTGTCAGCTTGGCAAGCCATTTGTCGTGTCTAAAAATGAAGCAGCTACTATTATTTTTTCTAAGGCTTATGCTATTCTACCAGTTTCTGTGAAGTGTGCAACGTGCGGTTCAAACTGTCACTATCTTCAAGATAAGAACCTTTTGGTTTTATACTAAAAGACGGAAACTCGCAGAGACAAGGAAATCTCACTGTGACTTCTGCGTTACGGGCGCTTATTTTGACAAACTACTGCACTGTACCTAAAAGTAGCATCATTATTATAACACTACAGGAGAAGCTTGATATGAACGCCAAAGAAATAAGAGTGAAATAGTTGATCTAAATGAGTGTTTTGCAATAGGGACTGATGTCTCAAAATGTGAAGAGTATTGTAGTGGACTTCTCCCCTACAACTGCGTATCCGCATTCCGATGCTACCGTATCCTAGCAACCAAACGAGCGGCGTCACCAGATGTTACCACCTTCCCTAGCAAAGGAACCAAAGACAGGTTACTTCTCGGGTTTTCCCAACATGACTCATAGATGACTCACGGCTGCTGGGTATATAAGCTCTGTCTCTCCATTGAGATTCATTCTGGTCTCTCTTCTTGAACAAGCAACACCTCCTCCTCCGCCGCTGCCTGGCGGCCCTCGCTTCTCCTCGCCTGCCTGGCGGTCCTCGCTCCCGCCAGCGAGCATGGCGACCCACCAGCTGTCCTTCTCTGAGCTTCCTCACCAACCAGCTCTCATTCTGGCCCATCTTCCTGAACACGCAACACCTCCTCCAGCAAGCTCCACGCTGTCAGCATTCATTCAACCAGGAGGCCAGCAACAGGCAACATCATCTCTAACGAAGCTCCTGACATCTACCTCCTTCAACACGCTACTCACCGAACGTCTCCACTGAGCAGCTCCTCACCACACGGCACCTCCAGCACCAGACTGTCTATCATATAACTTATATTATACAAGAAAACCACCTTAGAGTTTCCATCCATCCTGAGTGCTAGACAACATTATACCACGAATTCCTACAGTATCATATACAGGTAAGGTTAAGCTCTTAACTTGTTTCTTATAGATTTAAAGATATAAATTTATTTTTAGTATGTTTGTGCAGTCATTTGTGTTTGTGCAGTTATGTATTTGTGCAGTCATGCCACACTTCGATTATGCGGTTCAGTTCTGGTGCCCCTATTATATAATTATAGAATGGATATAAATTCACTAGAGTCGGTGCAGCGAAGAATGACAAAACTGATTCCGGGACTTAGAAACCTTCCATATCAGGATAGGCTAAAGAAACTTAACTTGCATTCCCTAGAAAGACGAAGAGTGCGGGGAGATATGATAGAAGTATTTAAGTGGGGGAAAGGAATCAATAAAGGGGATATAGATAAAGTTCTTATAATGTCCGAGCAGGATAGGACTCGGAGCAACGGATTCAAGTTGGATAAGTTTAGGTTTAGGAGGGAGATAGGAAGAAACTGGTTCACAAATAGGGTGGTGGACGAGTGGAACAAGCTTAGCAACTTTGTAGTAAGTGCGGGAACTCTGGAAAGTTTCAAAAGGAGGCTAAATAGATTCATGGATGATAGAGAGTGGTAGTAACTCTCGACAGGAGCTGCCATGCACAGGCTAACCGGCCTATCGCAGACTCCTTATTTTCTTATGTTCTTATGTTCTTATGTTTGTGCAACCATGTATGTTTGTGCAGCCATGAGGGTGTGCAATCATTATAAATATCACTGACGTTGCTACACACATGTCACTTACATACCAGTATAGCAACACAACACTGCTCTGGTCATCTCAGCACACGTGTTTACCTTTCCTCACCTCTATCTCTAATTGCTTATTGATTTTTTGAGAGGATGGTTTCTGAATTTAGATTAAAATAGAATCAGAATAGAGTGTGTGTGTGTGTAGGTCGGGTGTGTGTAGGTCGGATGTGTGTATGTCGGGTGTGTGTAGGTCGGGTGTGTGTAGATCAGGTGTGTGTATGTCGGGAGTGTGTAGGTTGGGTGCGTGTAGGACAAGACCAGGACACAGATAGAACAAGACCAGGACACAGGTAGTACAAGACCAGGAAACATGTAGAACACGACCAGGACACAGGTAGAACAAGACCAGGACACAGGTAGAACAAGACCAGGAAACAGGTAGAACAAGACCAGGACACAGGTAGAACAAGACCAGGACACAGGTTGAACAAGACCAGGACACAGGTAAGACAAAATGAGGACACAGATAGAACAAGACCAGGACACAGGTAGAACAAGACCAGGACACAGGTAGAACAAGACCAGGACACAGGTAGAACAAGACCAGGACACAGGTAGAACAAGACCAGGACACAGGTAGAACAAGACCAGGACACAGGTAGAACAAGACCAGGACACAGGTAGAACAAGACCAAGGACACAGGTAGACCAGGACACAGACCAGGACACAGGTAGAACAAGACCAGGACACAGGAGAACAAGACCAGGACACAGGTAGAACAAGACCAGGACACAGGTAGTACAAGACCAGGACACAGGTAGAACAAGACCAGGACACAGGTAGAACAAGACCAGGACACAGGGAGAACAAGACCAGGACACAGGTAGAACAAGACCAGGACACAGGTAGTACAAGACCAGGAAACATGTAGAACACGACCAGGACACAGGTAGAACAAGACCAGGACACAGGTAGAACAAGACCAGGAAACAGGTAGAACAAGACCAGGACACAGGTAGAACAAGACCAGGACACAGGTTGAACAAGACCAGGACACAGGTAAGACAAAATGAGGACACAGATGACCAGGACACATAGTAGAACAAGACCAGGACACAGGTAGAACAAGACCAGGACACAGGTAGAACAAGACAGGACACAGGTAGAACAAGACCAGGACACAGGTAGAACAAGACCAGGACACAGGTAGTACAAGACCAGGACACAGGTAGAACACGACTAGGGACACAGGTAGAACAAGACCAGGACACAGGTAGAACAAGACCAGGACACAGGTAGAACAAGACCAGGACACAGGTAGAACAAGACCAGGACACAGGGAGAACAAGACCAGGACACAGGGAGAACAAGACCAGGACACAGGTAGAACAAGACCAGGACACAGGTAGAACAAGACCAGGACACAGGAGAACAAGACCAGGACACAGGTAGAACAAGACCAGGACACAGGTAGAACAAGACCAGGACACAGGTAGAACAAGACCAGGACACAGGGAGAACAAGACCAGGACACAGGTAGAACAAGACCAGGACACAGGTAGAACAAGACCAGGACACAGATAGAACAAGACCAGGACACAGGTAGAACAAGACCAGGAAGCAATATGTAGAAGGTTAAAATGAAATATATATTCAGATCCTAGACATTCCGTGGCCACCATTCTAAGGCACCAAGAGCCCAACAACTCTCTGCTGCTGGGGTAGGAGGAGGAGACGGTTCATTAGTAAGTTTAAGTGAAGCACCAAACTTGAACTCGGCCCGAAGCTTGATTGGTGGAAGTCAGTGAGCTTCTGCCATTGTCATGAGAGGTCAAAGGTGAGGTTGGACTGTCGTTACCACACACGTCAGGAGGTCCTTGTTGAGTGAAGAGCACATTTCTTATAAATTAGTGAGACAAGAAGTTGTAATTAGTGTCTTGCAAGAAGGTTTCAGAGCGAGATTAAGAAATGTGAGCGAAATATGCTTGACAATTAAAATGTCTCACAAATCAATGGTTATTATTTATCTAAACCTCCGGGTCATACCTGGACGAGTATATCTCAGGCCAATGATAACCTTACACCTCACTCCTTCACCGTATTGTGTTAGTGTCAGCCCGGTACCTATACCCAACACCTACTAAACTTGTGAAACAGAAACAACAAAGTTCCTTCATTTAGTTTGATATATGTGAAAACTATTTATCAATCGGTATTAATAAGATCTATTTACATTATAAGACAATTGATATTAAATTAACTATTCTTCTTTTGGTTACTCGTGTTTCTTAGATCATGTTTGGGTTAAAAAAAATGAATCTTCACTATATTTGAGCATCATTACCCCAAGCTCACAAGTACAGTACGAGAGCCTTAATCCTTGATATAAAAACTACGTAAAAAAAATTCAATTCATTTTACATTTTCGGCTCAAGACATGGGAAATTTTAGTACCCAAGAAGAAGATTTACTCAAACTAGTTCACTATTATTTACGGCATACATCTGAATATCATACTGTATTAACAACGAATCGATTCAGATTTGTGTGGCTAAGGTATGGATATATTTTCCACACGTGAGTAACAGTAAAGCGAGAGATAAAGTGTATACAGGGATTTTCGAGGAGACTTTTACTTGCCTGGAATAATTTGAATTCACTATCGTCTTTTGTTTATAATGTGTGACTGACGGTGGCGTACTTCAGGGGCTGGATTGTGGGGGAGGGAATGGGTTAGTGTATGTGACCTGTGTGGCTGTGTGTGGGAGGGATTGCAGGTTGTGTGGGACGGAGTAGTGTGTGTGTGTGTGTGTGTGTCTGTGGGAAGGAGTATGGGACGTAGTTTTTCTTGTCTCTTTGCTCGGGAAGTTAACGGTGTTACTGATGTGTGTTCTCATCACGTAAGCTAAGGTCCTGGTAGCGTTGTGAGTTTCTAAGTCGTGAGGTTGTAGGTTATGGCGGGATTTTTAGAACTTTACATATAAGTGCACTAGAAGATCACTGAGACGGCTTTAAGACATACGCGGAAGATATTTACTCTAATGAATTACCAGCTGGTTCACATATTTTCTGGACTTCATCGAGAGAGCCTTAGGCATCCTGAACGTAGTAGTGTTAGAGGAGGAGAAAATAAATGTTTCGAACATAAATTATATTTCTTTCTTATATATTGTTATATTATGTCAACTTTATTCAGTTAATTTCAGTTATAAGTTATTTAGTTTATGGATTAATAAAATAAATTCAGAGATGATTATTTTTTTATATCTCTACAGCACCTACAATACTCTTCTTCTAAATTTAAAATCACTGTACATAACCAGTTTATGATATGTGAGTTAACAGATTAATCAGCAAGTTTTTTCTATACTCAAAAGCTCCAAGATAAATTTGTCGGCTTTAGTGCCAGAAGCCCACAATATCAATAACTTTAAACAAACGTAGAATTAATTTTTTTTAGGTCTGTCTTCCACGGTGTATTGTTGTGTTGCCACTGCTGGTCAGTATTACTCAGCTGTGTTGACCATCGCGTCTGGAGTGACGTTTGTGAGTGGTCGGTAGTGGTGGTGGTCACTGCTTTTGACCATTACGTTTGCTGGTATGTGGAGCTAACGTCTACTGTTTTGTGGACCAGCCATCTGCTGATGCATACATAGTCTTGACGTCATCCTGGTGTGTGGGTGAGGTGGATATCGCGATCTAGCCAGTGATGACTTTGAGGTCAGCTGGTTTCTCGCAGGCGAAGCTGATTTACATAAGAAAATAGTTAGTTATCAAACGTCTTTATGTGTGTTTGTTTGTTTGTGTGTGTGTGTGTGCAAGTATTCAGAGTTTTGCTTGAATTTAAACTTATTCTGTCTTAGTATCTGAATTTGACTGATTAAACAAACAAACATAACATATCAAGACAAATCAAGTAAGCAAGTTGGATCGATGAAGTAAAATGAGAAAGTCAGGGCAGGTGAGTGGGACAGATAGGATGGCCAGGGCAGGTGAGTGGGACAGATAGGATGATCAGGGCAGGTGAGTGGGACAGATAGGATGGCCAGGGCAGGTGAGTGGGACATAGGATGGTCAGGGCAGGTGAGTGGGACAGATAGGATGATCAGGGCAGGTGAGTGGGACAGATAGGATGGCCAGGGCAGGTGAGTGGGACAGATAGGATGGTCAGGGCAGGTAAGTGGGACAGATAGGATGATCAGGGCAGGTGAGTGGGACAGATAGGATGGCCAGGGCAGGTGAGTGGGACATAGGATGGTCAGGGCAGGTGAGTGGGACAGATAGGATGATCAGGGCAGGAGTGGGACAGATGGGATGGCCAGGGCAGGTAAGTGGGACAGATAGGATGGTCAGGGCAGGTTGGAGTGGGACAGATCGGATGGTCAGGGCAGGTGAGTGGAGAGATAGGATGGTCAGGGCAGGTGAGTGGGAGAGATAGGATGGCCAGGGCAGGTGAGTGGGACAGATAGGATGGTCAGGGCAGGTAAGTGGGACAGATGGGATGATCAGGGCAGGTGAGTGGGACAGATGGGATGGCCAGGGTGTGAGTGGGACAGATAGGATGGCCAGGGCAGGTGAGTGGGACATAGGATGGTCAGGGCAGGTGAATGGGACAGATGGGATGATCAGGGCAGGTGAGTGGGACAGATGGGATGGCCAGGGCAGGTGAGTGGGACAGATAGGATGGTCAGGGCAGGTGAGTGGGCCAGATAGGATGGCCAGGGCAGGTGAGTGGGACAGATAGGATGGCCAGGGCAGGTAAGTGGGACAGATAGGATGATCAGGGCAGGTGAGTGGGACAGATAGGATGGCCAGGGCAGGTGAGTGGGACAGGTAGGATGGTCAGGGCAGGTGAGTGGGAGAGATAGGATGGTCAGGGCAGGTGAGTGGGACATAGGATGATCAGGGCAGGTGAGTGGGACAGATAAGAAAAACAACTTACTGGGAGATGGAACTGCAGCCCTCATCGTTCCATTTAAAATACTTGTCCTCGCGCATCTCGACACAGTCCTCGTTGATGAGCCAGCTGCCATTGGGCTCCCCATATGACCAACTAAACCATTGGTAAAGAGACACGTTATGGGGTGTGGTGAATACAGTAGTTATGACAGAACACACGGTATCGCTTGGGAAATAGAGGTGAAGGACAGACTAAAAAAAATAAATGTATTTATAAAGTGGATATATACCCAGAACATAAACAACTCTTATGGAAATTCGTTTTGTAGTATTGATGATATAATAAACAAGTTCTTAGTTCCTGTTAATATTATCGATAATAGAAAGACAGATGTTATGTTTTTGTTAATACTAATAATCATAAAACTAAATTGGTTCTTACTTCATGAAGGTAGCGACGCTGTTGTCAGAGTCCCAGATGAACGTGCCTTCTTTCGACCTGTCGTTTAGGCCGATCCAGGTGCTCCCCATGAGTAGGCCTACAGGAGTACACAGGTAGTGGTCATAATTTAGAGGTCACACACACACACACATCATGACGTTCACACCAATTGTCTTAACATGCCAAGGACCCTCCCCCTCGATCTACACGAAGGAACACACCATCATCTCCATCATCCTCCTTCTACTTCCTCTCCTCCACACATCCATCACCTCCAGCGGGGGAACATCCACCGCCTGACATCCATCTTTCCTCCAACACCTCCTTCACCTTCACTGGGAATTACTACCCTTTCCTCACTTCTTTCACAGGCTCACATTCTCTCACAGGCTCACCTTCACACCAAGAACCAAAGCAGTTCCTCACCTTGAACAAAGTCGTTCTCAGACTGACTGGAGATCTTGACGTAGGAACTACCATGATTTTCACAATATTTCTTTCCTTCTTCCCAGGTGCCCTCAGTGTTCATGGTGACATGATAACAAGATGATTCGAAGCTGTCCCATCCAACGGGGCATACTAGAGTTGTTCTGGTTGTTGGTTCAGGTGTGGTGGTTATGGTAGGGGGGATGGTAGTAGTTGGTAGAGTGGTCTCTAATTCAGCGTTTTGAGCACAGTCTGGGTTGGTCTCCGTGCCATCTGGGTATTGTGTCTCTTCTGTGGGGCCTGTGACGGTGGATGCGGTACCTGTGACGGTGGATCCGGTACCTGTGACGGTGGATCCGGTACCTGTGACGGTGGATCCGGACGGTGGATCCGGTACCTGTGACGGTGGATCCGGTACCTGTGACGGTGGATCCGGTACCTGTGACGGTGGATCCGGTACCTGTGACGGTGGATCCGGTACCTGTGACAGTGGACCCGGTACCTGTGACGGTGGAACCGGTACCTGTGACCGTTGACCCAGTAAGTGACGGTGGACCCGGTACCTGTGACGGTGGAACCGGTACCTGTGACGGTGGACCCGGTACCTGTGACGGTGGATCCGGTACCTGTGACGGTGATCCGGTACCTGGATCCGGTACCCTGTGACGGTGGACCCGGTACCTGTGACGGTGGAACCGGTACCTGTGACAGTTGACCCAGTACCTGTGACGGTGGACCGGTACCTGTGTGGAACCGGTACGTTGACCCAGTACCAGTGACGGTGGACCCAGTACCAGTGACTGTGGACCCAGTACCTGTGACGGTGGAACCGGTACCTGTGACGGTTGAGTACCAGTGACAGTGGACCCAGTACCTGTGACGGTGGATCCGGTACCTGTGACGGTGGATCCGGTACCTGTGCCGGTGGATCCGGTACCTATGACGGTGGATCCGGTACTTGTGACGGTGGATCCGGTACCTGTGACGGTGGATCCGGTACCTGTGCCGGTGGATCCGGTACCTGTAACGGTGAATCCGGTGCCTGTGACGGTGGATCCGGTACCTGTGACGGTGGATCCGGTACCTGTGACTGTGGACCCAGTACCTGTGACAGTGGAACCGGTACCTGTGACGGTTGACCCAGTACCAGTGACGGTGGACCCAGTACCTGTGACGGTGGATCCGGTACCTGTGCCGGTGGAACCGGTACCTGTGACTGTGGACCCAGTACTTGTGACGGTGGAACCGGTAACTGTGACGGTTGACCCAGTACCAATGACGGTGGACCCAGTACCTGTGACGGTGGATCCGGTACCTGTGCCGGTGGAACCGGTACCTGTGACGGTGGACCCAGTACCAGTGACGGTGGACCCAGTACCAGTGACTGTGGATCCGGTACCTGTAACGGTGGACCCGGTACCTGTGACGGTGGACCCAGTAGTAGACGGTGATGATCCACCACAAGCCTCCCTCTGTAGCTGTGACTGAAGGAGCTGAACATCTGTTGGGTGAGAGAGAGAGACGCCTTCAATATGGTGTTGACTTATTGTGCTGGCACTACTGTATGGTCAGCCACCACCACTTAGTCAGCCAGCAAGTGTTACCTAATATTGCTGACACTGCTACAAAGTCAGCCAACAATTACTAATCTGGCTAGTGAAGGTTTGACGTTATGAGGAGACTAGAGGAACCTAAACTCTACCTGGGTACTGGTAGTGACTTACCTGGCTCGTCGTGCACGAGGGAGCAGGTCATGCTACCGTCCATGTTGTGTTGGACCATCACCATGAGGCCCATCTCAGCCAGACGACCATTACGTGTGTACACTGGGCCAGCTGCCACCATCTGCGAGTATAATAAAGTTTAATACCAACTGCCACCATCTGTGAGTACAATAAAGTTTAATTCCAGCTGCCACCATCTTCCTCTAGAAAACGCAAGTAATGTTAATTTGGGAGACAAACAAACGAACAAACATCGTTAGTTACGTTTTGCTTATTCCTAAACATACTGACATTTTTTTTAGATTTGCCCCGCGATGGGGCTAGTTTATTGAGCACCCCATTGCATCCTGTGCAAGGCAAAGGACAAAAGCGTTTACAGCGCCCAATAGGGAAGCATGCGGAGTTCATGACAGTGTTTTTAAAAACAGACATAAATTAATGTCAGGTCGATTGCAGTTACCCGAAGAAGAGGTAGTTATAATGTAAGAGAGTGGAAGCTTACCTCCAGTGTCTCTTCACAAGGAGCACAATTAACTTGAGGCTGGTCGAAGGAGAAGTCGAGCGTCACGGTGGACTGACACAAGGCGCCTGACCCCTGTCGACCAACCAGGCCCGCCTCGCTCACCACGCCCCCACACACCACCTGGACCAAGTATCAACACAAACTTCATTACATAACATTTTTCAATGGTTATTAGCTTGATGAAGAACCAGTGTTATGAATCACTAGTTCTTAGGTAGGTTTGAGGTAAGGACGGGCGAACAGATAACTAACTACAGACATTAAAAAGTGAAGGACATACTGCCCCGAGAAAGCAGTTAGGCCTATGTGATCTAGGTTTGAGTAGTGCTGCTATAGATGCTGTGATCAGGTCAGGTGAGGCTAGAGGTCAGTTCTAGATCAGACTAGATTGTAGGGGACTCACCATGGCCAGGGAGACCAGGAGAACCAGCTGATGTACCCACATGTTGTCAGATTCACAGTGTGTGTAGCGGTGAGCACACCTCCCCATACTTTATATACCCTCTGAGACCCCCCCCCCCACCCCCAATTACCCACATTCACCACCAACACCTACACCTTCGCCACCACTCTTCATTATCACAGGTGTATTTAGATGAATATTTGCATCGTGCTTTGCTTATTCGATTTACGTGGAGAATATTTTCTGTAATAAAATATAGTTGTTATCGGAAAAGACGCTGTTAGGTTTTACCAATTTGAATGATTCTTGATATACCGCTTTTGGTATGATAAAATAATGTTGAATTAAACAGTAGACGTTGTAGTTACAGCAACGGCAATAATGATCTCGTCAACTGTAGTACTACTAAGGCAAAAATAACGAAAAAGGCTAAAACATCAAAACAAAACTACTACTACTACTACTACTACTACTACTACTACTATCTCTTTATTATTACTGCTGCTACAGATGCTGTCCTTACTACTACTACTAATAATAATGCTTCATTGTGATGTCTGCTGTCGAGCGTCTTGTAAAGTTGTAAAGTTGTCAGGCTGGAGGAGGGGGTGGTGTGCAGTATTGGGTTTTCTTGCTACAAATTTCGATTAAAATACAATGTTTTCTGAGACAGAATAAACTTTTCCATTTTCTGCTATATTGTTCTGTACGGCTGGAATTTCTTATAGCTGGTGTCTGTTGAAATTTTAAATACATTTCATCTCACACCATCTGGCCTCTCATAGCTAAATTAAATCTACGTGGCTGAAATACGAGTATGAGGTGTTGCTGACAAACCATCACTATTATTGCAATTTTGGCGTATCAATACAAGATAGACAATTTTTATTTCTGAGATAGAGTTACAGTGCAGTGTTATAAGTTTTAATCAATCAACACAAGTTCTCAAAGAGATGTTGATGACCCTTGGTATAGTACAGAAATGTTTTAGACGTTCTGGATATTCAGGCAGTCAAGTTCGCTACCAGATCAGCTGCGAGTAGTAAATGTAATGAATTTTTTTTCTATATTGCGCTCTTAATTTTTTTTTATTTTTCTTGTGTGACAGTGATATCGTTAGACGGGACGGAGAAAATAAACACACTGAAAGACAACACATTCACTACTACATTATTGTACCGTGACTACACACAACATAATTATATCTAATGGGTATTATTTTCCCTGATATTCTTGGCTGTTTCCCGGGACAAAATGCATCTTTCTTTTGTCTTTTTTTTCCCTTTTACATTTGTGGGAACAGTGGTAAATATTGCTTCTCATAAACGGCTGGCAACTTTGCAATCAGTAAACATACCGACACGTACTAAACGAGCACATCACTGACTAGTCCCTGAGAAATAGCACTTCGTTAGCTTCACTTTACTCTGTTCAACACGGCTTTAATGGTTCAAATTACTGAATAAACTAACTCATTGGTGGAGGCTTTACACACGACGACGCGTGGACCACCCTCCTTAAGCTGGCAGTTTGTCACTCAATTCATACGTGGTGAAAGGTGATAACTCCTTGTAAACACCTGTAAACTCATCTCATAAACACCAACACACTTCCTCTATCACTTATCATTAACATTTTGCAGGAAAAATATTGAGATATATATTTCTTACAGCTATTTGTACATTCCTAAACACCTGTAGACATTTACTAAAAATAAGAATTTAAAGTTAAGATGAAGTATGTCTTTTGAGGACAAGGCAGCCACATATGGTAGCTTCACCTCACCGCGATGTTGCCACTGGGACGGAAAACCCCATACTCGTGACGTCATTTCACTATTCGTATGCGTTTTTATGAACATGATGGTCTTACAAAGCGTCTCATTACTAAATATAGAATTCTTTATACAACAATTTCTGAAAATTTATGATTTAAAAGTTGTTTTGTGATACACATAGACATGTTTTTGACGTCTATGTCATTGTTCACGAAAATTTGTCACCTTTGACGTCATTAAAAAAACACGACGTCATAGAGAAAAACGTATATGACACTTTTGATGCGACTTTCGTCCAAAAATCAAACAAAAAATACCATCCTGTTACGATACTTCGTTCCAGAGTAACTTTTGAGCTTCCAGTTCATTGTTTACTGTATAATCAACATAGTTCATCCATGACGTTAACCCTTTCGGAGCCAGTGGGCCTGTAAATCTATTCAATATTGAGTCGTATAACAGAGAAACATTGTTAGTTGACTGTTTATACTTGAATAGTCATTAAAGAGCTTAACCTGAATATATCGATAGACTTAGATTAATGACATATACTGTAACAAAGGTTTAACATATATGTATTGCTTCAAGACCACATTCACTCTGTTTGTGGTCTAGCATTACTATCACTCTCTATTTGTGTAAGATATAATGCTACTTCCTCTGCGTTAGAGATAATGATACTGTTGGAGATAACGTTTGATAATGTTTATGTTAGAGATAGAGTTAGTGTCTCTCTGTGTCCTGGAGGTAATGCTAATCTACCTTGCTATAGGAAAAAAAATAATGTTATTGTCTCTTGTCACAGTAGAGAGATAACACCAATGTCTCATGTTGTAACAGAGATAATAGATTAGTGGACAAACCGTGGATGAGGAGTGGAAGAGCAGGGTGTGGGGAGCCAGGTGTGGGGAAATAAGACGTGGCAACATACGAGTAAACAGATGAGTTGTTACCATCTATTGACCAATGTCCACCCGTGTTTACCTCGTTTGCCGCGCGACCCATGACACACTTTATACCAGTAAGACTCAGCGTACATAGTTACTATGTATTTGGACATATCTTAGTAGATGATACATTGCCGCTGAACCAGTCCTTTTGAAGTTGATGTTTAGAGTTAAACTGTCACTGAATATATATCTTCACTTCACCGGCTTCTAACACCATTTATTGATTACGTATTTGCGTATTTACTGATATTATGAAGATTGGAGCAAAATTTTAACCCTTTCGCCGCGTTTCACGCACTTGCCGTTTTATTCTGGCTACCGCCAGACGATTTTATTCAGCTTAGGGTAACCTCCCGCTGTGAAAGGGTTATGTTCTACCCTCTAAATATCACCAACATGTGGTGATGTGGCTGCGTACAAGGGTTTGAGTCACATAATACCATTAGAGGCCGAATAGTTACTTGCGTGTGCATGAAATGTTAAAAACATCCTAACTGTTGGATATTGTAGACAATAGACGGCTGATGAAAAAATATATTTCTATTTTTTTCAATTAGGGTTCTTACAGTATATACTATGGAGAAAATTATAAAATTTGCGGAGTTAGCAATTCTCTATCACTGTTATATATCCACACAAGTAAATAAATGCTTCAGATAGTAAAGAGAACCAGAGATAGTTTGAAATGGAGAGCTTTGGTTGTCAACCCTCAGGCATGATGATGGCACCTTAATTGACTGAATGATTTTTGGTTGTTGTATACTGTGAAAGTGGGCTCCATAGGCATGACTGACCGCTAGGGACAGTGTGGATGCAGCACACTGTATACTAAGCCTTCGGTACACAAGGAGGCAGCATGGCCGGTACTGCACTCTATCGCATTCCCTTCCCCAAGTTGTAAACTTAGGTACCCATTTACAACTGGGTGAACCGGGAGCGCCCGGGATCGAACTACCGATCCCTGGAACAGGAGGCGAGTGTTGTATCCACTCGACCGCCGCGCTACTTGTATACTGTAAAGGTGTGTAAATCTCTCGTCCATGTCCAATAGAAACACAGTTGTTAAAGTGTTGACAGATTAGTTTATGCTAGTGATGGTGCTGAGTGATAGCATGGCAATGATATCCTTGTCCAACAGCTACAGAAAAACAGTCAGTCATCCTTTACCAGGCTCGACATTCGGTAAGGGACAATCTGTCACCAATTAGCAGGCGACTCCATGCGGGGAGGAACAGTCAGTCACCGGAAACGGAGTCAGTCGGTCATGGACGGTGTGCTCGTCCTTGCTCTGTGCCAGCAGCAGCACCCTACACCAGGGCCGGGAGGGAGGAACATTGTTGGTGATATATGTGGCAGCACATCCTGCCTCCCGGGGAGGCCCGGGCGACAGATGTGGGTGAGGGCGCCGGTGTGAGGCCGGTCAGGTCTGGGACACACCATCCCTCCTCTCCTTCCCTACCTCGTTATGTACTGCTACAGTAGCCGAGAGGAATAATTTGCTAACAACCGAATCTACGCCAGTTACATAACGGTCAAATGACCGTTGGTATATTGTAGGAGGAAAATGTAATAAGCAATATTGTATGTTGTCATGGATGGCGCATGATATATTGATAACTGTTGCCGCAATTGGCGAATAAATATTATGAAAAACTGTTGTTAGTCAAAAATGTCTAATTTTGCTGTTCACATTGATGTTGTCGTAGATCTTATCATTTCGTTGCTTTACCTGTGTTTGTGTACTGGTTACAGCAAAAAATTACGACGTTATTCTTTATGTGAACTGGATTACAAAAAGATTTTATTTATTTGAGATATTTTATAGCTTTGATATAACTAATATGTATGTTCATGGCTGGACGGCCTCTGCAATACACAGTCAGAAATATATGACCCCAAAATGTGTACATAATGCTAAAGATATGTTTGTGAGCTCCGCTGCTTGACGCCATTTACAACGAAGTTTAGACCATTGTCGTCAAACCTTTCGAGGGCCAATTCTTACTTCAGTTACCCTCTTCAGGGCCAACACAAGTGCTATGTCACATATTTGCAGGATTGAAGTTTACAGCTTCACACATTGCCTTACCTGACTTACCAGGAATACCTCATTTGGGTTTGTCTGATGTTAAGCATGTAAAATTTATTTTGCTAAATCAACATGATTATATCTATTTTGTTCATGCTTTCACGGGATGATAAATTTTACCGTCATCCCGCGGGCCACACGTGACCATCCCAAGGCCCACATTTGGCCCGCGGGCCAGGAGCTTGACACCTTACAAAAATTTTTACCCAAATATACTTTTTTCTCAGAATTGAAATTTAAGGGGTTTAACTAATTAAGTACTTTCAG